GAATTGTACCCCACATCTTTAAAACAAACAAACAAATAAATAAATAAAAATGAAGATATAACCCAAAAAGGGCAGTCAACCAGCAGATTGCTTTATTTTCATGTTGCAAAATACCTTGCTTAGCCAATGTTTTCTGAATTTGTTAGCTTGACCAGTTTTTCTGCTATTATGCTGTTGGAGCCTAGCTGAGCATGTGTGCATTTACGTACATATGTTGACTTAGATATGCTTTTTGAAAAGTTAAATAAGATGAAATTCCTTTTTATACTAAGAAGGATATTTTGAGTAACAACCTCTCTCACTTATAAGTGGGAGCTAAGCTAATGGTCTGCAACAGCATATAGAATGGCACAAAGGACCCTGGAGACTCAGAAGAGGGAAAATGGGAAGGTGTGAGGGATGAAAAATTACCTACTGAATGCAATGTGCACTAATAGGGCTGACATGTCCACTTAAAGTCCAGATGTCTTCACCACTCTACAAAACACCCATGTGACCAAAAAATCACTTGTACCCTAAAGTTATAAAAATAAAGAAAATTATTATTATTTTTTAAGTCAGAGTCTCACTCTGTTGCCCAGACTGGAGTGCAGTGGCACGCTCCCAGCTACCGCAGCCTCGACCTGTTGGGCTCCGGTGATCCTTCCACCTCAACCTTCCAAGTAGCTGGAACTACAAGCGCGCGCTACCATGCCCAGATAATTTTTGATTTGTTGTATAGACGAGGTCTCGCCAAGTTGCCTGGGCTGATCTCGAACCCGCGGGCTCAGGCAATTCACTCGCTTTAGTCTCCCAAAGTGCTGGGATTATAGGCTGAGCCACCGAGCCCAGTCAACAAAATTATTTTTAAGAAGGATATTTTTAGACATTGTTATTCCTTTAATTGAACTAGGGACTTCATTTTCATATAAAAAGAAGCCCTTTGAAACAAGTTAGATAACACATAGGTTCAGGAAGAAAAATGTGGTATATTTCTGAGGGTCACAATAAAGCCCTATGTACTTTAAACATGATAGGTTATGTATAACTCATCTTAAATGAATGTGATTGAAGATGTAAGGGAAAAGCACCACCCTGGTGTAACACTTTAAGTGTAAACATCTCCCTATACTACACACTTGCCTAGCTGTCTGTAGTGGAGTCATAATGCTTTCCATGGTTGCTTAGGCATAAGATACCAAGGAACATGCTTGGGTACTCACACATACCCTACCCAAAAATGCAGAGAAGTTAATATCACATGGGGAAGAATTTGACCAATGAGATGGGAGCTAGCAGATGAGTTCTTCTCCCTTCCTCCCCCAGATGGGCTGTAGGGAGATGTAGTAGTTTCATATGGCTTGTCATAAAAGATTGAGAAATTAGCTTGCTATGAAACAGATTGTGGCCAACTCAGTGATATACCCCTTTATGTTTGTTCTTCTTCCTTCTCTACCTTATTACCCTTTTCCGTACTCCTAATCCCCAGGATTGCACATAAACTTTTGCTTCAAACCTTATTTTCTAAGAAACACTGGCTAAGATATACCTGGGAGTTAGGAACTCTGGAATAAAGTCATAATTCCACTCAAACTCAGAACTGTGTGACCTTGGATATGTCATTTTCCTTCTCTGTGCATCTTTTTCTCCGACTATAAAATGTTGACCTTGGGCTACATGTTCTTTAAGGTCCTATTGGCTCTGAAATCATGCTAGGGTAAAGGATTCTTAGTGTGAAGAAGCTGATGGTGAAAGTTATTAGATGGATCAATGGTCATCAGTGGATTGCTTACATTTGAATCAGAAGAATGCACTCAATATAATAAATGAGTGTGAATGTCACCAGCTCCAACAAATCTCAAATTCCAAAAATGGATTCAGTTCTACTTTGTGCAGAAAAACATTGAATTAGTTTTCCCTGGCCAATAAAGATAAGGCTAAACAACCACTTAACGTCTCTGGCACAAATAAAAATGTTCCTCTACTAGCTCTACATCATAACCTCTTTGAGAAACGGTAACTGGCTGTAAGCATATTTTCAAGGGAAGTAGTGGAGAAGTTTGTAATGACACCATTTTGGTAAGCAAGACAGCTAATATATGTCTGTAAATATTGCTTTACTTTGAATATAGAAGTACACTTATTTCAACTCCTAAGCTGCAGGTGGGGAACTGGAGTTAGGGAAAAGAGTATTCACCGTTTAAGGCTTGTTACTCAAGAATGGTTTACATTTTGCTCCAGACTTCTATACCTGACTCTGGAGCATTCACTTTGGTTTAAATTGTAGCTCTACCATTTACAATTGTTATATTTGGCAAGTCATTTAACCTCTCTGTGCTTCAGTTTTCTCATCTGTAAAATAGAGATAGGAATGATACCTACACTGTAGAGTTTTGAGGATTGAATTAGCTAATATAGGTAATATATAAAAAATAGTGTTTAGCATATAGCAAGCACTGTATGTATTCACTATATTTATTATAGCTATTGTGATGAGGGAAGATGGGCCACAACCAAAGGAAAGTCTTGGCTAATACCATATGAGATGTATCAAGGGACCAATATATGTGGAAAGCAGTAGAGTAAGGGGGTAACAGATGACTTAACTGCAAAAAAATGTTAAGCAGGAAACACCCTCTAAATATTCCTGTTTATATAGTAGATGACACAAAGAAAAATAATGAAAACAGAGCCTCTCTGCAGGATTTAGAGTTCTTTCGTATATATTTTAAATATACATGTGCAATACATTAAAATATATAGAGATGTGTGAATATATATTTACATATATATATTTATATATAAAATCACAGAAGGGATACATATGCACACTCACTCACACATCCATGCGCATACCCCAACAGGACCCATCTATACGTAAACCAGATGCAGTCCATATCAGGCCAACTTGGACACAAGTAAAAGCCCTGACTCAGCAGCAGATTGCAGATTGCAACTGCGTTTGAGTAACCCTTCAGTTTCTCCTACCAAGTGTAAGGCCATTTAGAAATACACTGAGAAGAGCTCCTCTGGGTGTATGGCAGAGCCCAGGGCCCCTCTGGCAGTGCACAATTTGCCTGAGTAAGGACTGCAATATTGGGATATCAAGGAGGAGGGACTTGTGTTATTTGGGGGCCTGAAACTAATAAGCAAACATCCATAGAATAACTTTAGCTCCAGGTACAATGCACTAGTGTCAGAGAATCCTTAGATAACTGAGCTCTAAGTAAATTTCAGGCAGAAGCAGAGAGAAGTGTGTGTTGCTACTCATCACCATCCAGCTTGACCCAGAGAACTGGGCACAGCTTTTAGGGGTAGGTAAGTTTAAAGTACAACCAGGCAGACTTGTAAGATTTTAAAAAAGTGACTTAAAATGGAAGGATCTGAAAGCAATATAAGAGGTTACAGGTATTGGTTTGGGTTTATAAATATTCCAAGAAGCCTAACCTTATATATGGCACCATTTGCAGCAATATCATTAACATTATTAATAATCATCATAACATATTTATATATACAAAAATAGAGCAAAGCAATTCTAGAGGAGGAGGTGTAAGTGAAGGTGTGGGGCTGTGTGCAGCCCAAATGTCAGTACACTTCAGAAAGATTTAGAACCAACAAAGGCTAAGTGGCACACATTTCTGTAATTGTGTACCCAAAAAAGGGACATGGATGTCCCCTTCTTTCCCCTGTGTATGACTATATTCTTCTCCCCACCTCTCCATCCTGCAACACACACCCATGCACACTTTAAAAGAGATGATCTATAAAGCTAGAGTCTGGAAGTCCTAAACTAAGTTGGAGCACCTTGATTTCAAGCAAGTGCCCTCAATCTCTGAATTCCTCAGTGAATTTTGGATTCACTTACAGAGGGAAACTATATAATTCTTGTGTTTTTTTTAGCAGCAGTCTTTAGGAGCCTGCCATCACCACTGCAGCCTTTTCCCTTTGAAGGGGGTTCACAGCACAGGCTCTCTGTATTTTTTAAGAGAAGTCAGTTCTCTGAATTATACATCTTTCATCTCAGTTTTTCACTGTTGCTGAAATTTAGGTTCTCAGGCAGCTGCCATTGCAGACAAAGCCAGGAGCAAGCACAGTGTGTGCAGCAAAGAGTAGACACAATGGCGAAGATACAGCTTGGTTAGGGCTTCTTTAAGCTTTTCTTTTCCACACTTGAGCTTCTACAAGGTGACAGGGTCAAAGGTGATGTCCACTGGGGGTAGCCTCAATGCATGATAGTTAATTAGCTACCCACCATGCACTGCAGAAAGACCGCCACACTAACTTGGCATGGTTCCTGAAAAGAAATGGGATGGAAATGGCTTTCTGTCACTGTTAATAGAGTCTTAGGAAAAAATCCCATGACTCAATGTGGTACAGGGGAGAGAATACTCAACTAGGAGTCAGAAGGCCTGTATTCCAGTCCCAGTTCTACTATTAACTCAGTGTGTGGCCTTGGGCAAGTCCCTTTCTATCTCCAGGCCTCAGTTTTCCCATCTGTAAAATATGGGCATTGAACTAGATTAGCAGTTAAGATTCCTTCCAGCTCTAAAGTTTTATGACTTTTTATGTCCATTATTAAAGCCTGAGCCATGCAGTCTCAGGGCAATTAGCTTCTAAGAGAGAACATACCTCTGTAATATCCTTTGCTTTGTTCATTTAGCTATAAAGCACGTCTGCCTTTGGCACTTGGGTCAGACATACAAAGTTATGAGCATCCTGATTTACTACCCTACTCAACATGCTAGTGGAATCTGTCAGTACTATAAGTCGATTATTGGGAAAGGGAGAAAAATTCCAACGAATTAAACCTGGAAATGTAAGTTAACTTTGCCTCATATGCTCACAAACAAGTGAGAGTGGTTGTGAGTGCACACACACGTCGGGATACAGACTATTGCTAGTGATCAGTTCATTACAGTAATCCATTTCCCTTAATAAAAATTAGTAAGTAGTATAGCATAGCAAAATTTGGCGTCTAAGGAAACACCTATGGAAAGTCAGCACTTTTGGACGTGTTAGAAAGAGAAAGGACAGGTAGAGAGAGAAAAATATGTATCAAACGAGATAGAAATACAGGGAGAGAAAGGATTAGTGTGACAAAGAGGGGACAAATGAAAGAAAGAGGAAAAGCAAAAGAGAGGGTGAGGATGAAGAGGGACAGAATATAGAACAGGATAGTGAAATAAAAGGAGAGGGAGAGACAGAGGGATAAAGAATAGAAGAGTTGTAACAGGGAGAAGGGGTCATATTCCCTGGAAGGTTGAACGCTCTTCCACATGTACCTGTGAAAACCAACTCAGAAGAAAGCTTCCAAAGGTATGGTGGAAAGCAGAGTGACGATCAGAGCCTGCATCGAGAGGCATTACATTGGGGAGCCCCTAAACCTCCACGTTGCTGGCTCTGTCAGTCCTCAGTGTCCAAACCTCATACCCATATGTCACCTGAATTTGCCATGACAGCCATAAGGGCTGAGCTGGCGGGGTGTAATAGGACTAAGAGTAGTGGGATAGATACTGCAAGAAAGAACAAGGCATCCTGCACCAGGATGTACTCGGTCATTCTCCTGACAACTGCAGGAACAAAATAAGTGAGGCCCTAACTTTGGCTAGTTTATTATTCTTCCCCCTCTCCAAAGATGAGGCCTTATGTTTTACTGATGGGGTCTAGGAGGAAAAAGCTCTGGATCCATCTTGTGGGAAGGTCATACAGACTTTTCCTGGGCTTTGGGAAAGGGTGCACTACCAGAAGAGATCTTTCTGCACACAGTGTTGGTGTGCCTCTTACAGCGGCAGCCTGGTCGCCGGAGGCTATCATAGCCCTGCTGGCACAGATGGAGGCATCCACGGGTAGGCAGGTAGCAGCACAGGCAGGGTAGAAAGAGGGAGATGAGGCTCATGGCTGCCCAGCGGACGAAGCAAGAGCTAGGCCCACAGGAGCAGGGCTCATCAGCACAGTTGTCTTCATCATCAGTGGAGCAGTGGTAGAAGAGGCCCTTGACACAGCAGAGACAAGTGCCATAATCGAGGAGGCTCTCAGCAGAGCAAAGGCAACGCTGGTTACACAGCCAGCAGGAGGGGAGAGGGCGAGCTGCTGTGCAGGGGACACACTTGCAGCGCCCACACTCCTCACAGATGAAGAGGTGCTCAGTAGGATGCCCTGAAGATTCCTCAGCTTCTCCCTTCAGAGCACCATCAGCCTTTGAGTGGGCCCCTGCTCCAGGCTGGGTTCGGATGATGGACTGGCCTGAAGGTGAGGGCGTAATGCTGGCCAAGAGCCTTTGATCAGAGGCAGTGGTGCTATGGGACATTGAGCTGGCAATGCTAGATTGGCTCAGATGCTGAGGCAAGGGCTGCAACTGATGGCACTGGCTGAGACTGCGGGGGAGAGCAGTGGGCATGGTAGCCAGAGACCAATCAGATTTGTGGGTTTGCACAATAAGGGAAGGGCTTGAGAGGGCCTGTTTACAGGGGACTGGAGGCCTTTCCACATAATCATTGCTAGCATGAGTAGAGCGCAGCTGTTCAATAGGCAGAATTTGTTGAAAATCATCTGTCACTGCAGCATCCATTTTGCCTTGATTTTTTTAGCTCTGAGTGGTTTTGGGTCTGGATGGCACTTATGGTGATAAAGAGGAGCCCTTGTAGTTACATGGACCTCAAGGTACATCAGAAAATCCTAGGAGAGAAGGAATAAAGACAATAAATGAGAACGCACAGAAATAAGTCTTTTGTGGGGAATCAACAAAGCTCAGGCCCTATCACCATCACTACCTTCAATTGCTTTACAGTAGTCTTCATGTTACACCTTTATTTTGTAATTGGCCTCACCTACTTCTTTATAAGCAAATCTGGTCATTCCATCTAGATTATAAAGCAATTTAGCAACAAAAATTATATAGTTGATTCTTTCGCTATTCCATTAAACACCTAGGTTCACAGCAGCAGCTAACACACTCAGGTATTTACTAGCAGAAAAGTGTAACCCTTGAGCATCAGAATTCTAATATAAATTGAACCTAATGTTAAATGCAAAGACCACTTTCTGAAGCAGTGCTGAAGCAAAAGAACAAACCTCAAAAGTCTCCCATGAGAAGTTGCTCATATATATAATATATATATATATCCAATCAAAATTCTCCTTTCAGTGTAATTTATGACAAACAGAAATAAACACATGAGAAAGGACATTGCTTAATTCAGTGAATACAGGCAAGCAAGCAGAATGCAATAATGGCAGAGATACGGCAGATATACAGAGGGCAGTAATTAAACTGTTTGTAGAGTAATAGGAAAAAAAGGCTTCCCAAGAGTTTGAGGAAGCCAAGACCAATGATCTCGTGGTTGTCTTCATCTTGTGGAATGCTTTAACTTACTGAAGAAGTGATTCTTTTTAAATGGCATGGTGGCTCCAGAATCAAACTTTTGTATACATGGGAGTAATACTGGGGATGAAGGAACTATAGCAGACAAGCCCTGAATTATTTCAAATATCATCTGTAATTGTACCTATTACCACCCAGAGTCAACTCCACATTGATGGGATTTACCAAGCAGAATATGCCTGTAATGCTTTTCTACATCTCAACCTTATACAATAAATTGGTTTTCTTAAAGGGCAGCAGCATTCTTATACCATATTTAAGATAAATTGAATATCTAGAAAACATATGTTTGCATCTCCATTGTATCACAATGAGAAAGAGGTGGGTGATCATTCCCTGAAGGATTTGATAAAGCCTAGAAGTGATAATGATGACCATGAGAAAAAATATTGTACAAACAGTAGACTGCTACATCACACCACCGAGAAAACTGGAGCCAAAAAGATGTACACAAGAAAACCTGAACACAAATCCAAGAGGCATCCTGGAAGCATTAGGACCTAGGGGACACTAGTATGAATAAAGTATATATTTGAAATCCATCAAATTTCAGAAATTCTCAAAATAGATCAATTACTCACACTATTGTATGTGATGGATAGCTTGAATGAGTAATAGAAATGAACAAGCAATGGAGGACAGTGCTTGATTAGGCTTCCATAAGCAAGCAAACACAACACTGAAATGGGCCCAAGGCTCAATAACAGGAAAAATAAAGATGCAGTTAATAAAGAACTCAGTGGCTAATAATATGACTAGATTCAGTTGACTTTTGAGGCTATATCCCCATGCAAACCTAATTAGCAAAATTTGCATCTGTTCATATTTTGAAAAAAAGATTTAATTTGGTTAAAAATAACATGTTTGGCACATCGCATCAAAGAAACAGACTGACAAAAATTTCACGTTTTACTAGCTGTTTTGGTGTTAAATAAACACAGCACAAGAGAATGAAAATAAACACTATGAAGACTCTAAGACTAAAATATCTACATCACCTTTGTCAAGTCACTTGCTTTTGGGGGGCTTCAGTTTCATTATCTATATAATTATAGGGGTGGCCCAGATAATCTTGAAGGACTTTGCTCCATTATGGTATTTCTATAACTACACAATTTGATAAAATAATTCTTTTTATTCATACCATCTGCATCTTCAAGTCCTTGAGGATAAGTTAGGCAATGTTCCCTTCTTTGAGTATTCCAAAGCAAAATGTATGTCTCCTTTATCTAGCTGCACTCAAAGCCCCCTGCAACCTGCCATCTATATGTTTGCTAAATCTTTATAGTTTTATACTCTCAGCATTGAAAAAGAATAGGCAGTTTTCATTTGGGCACCCAAATAAAAAAGAACACATTTTTCATTTGGTTTGGAGGGTACATGGATGTAGAAGCTTTGGACTGGGAAGAGTCTTTTGACAAATTTATCAAAAAAATGGATTTATGTCCCATTAATCAGCTAAAGAATATGTGGAGGCCTTCAAGTCCTTTACACTGTAAGAACGATAATATACATGCTAGATGCAGTTTACTCATTGATTTTTCCCAAAAGAAAGTAGATTCAAAACATATTGAAAATTCCAAGAAGCAATGTTTCAAATGAAGGTATACAAGTTCTCAAAGTTACAAGAGATAATCATGTGAAATTCCACAGACAGAATTCCAGGGATGTCACTAGGTACCTCAGGAACATGCCCAGAAGTGTGGAGAAATCTAGGTCATAATATAAATGACTCAGAGCCAATAACAAACTGTGTTCAAAGGGGATCCTGTCTGGAGGGCAGAAGGGTATATGGTGTTTAGGTTGAGAAGGCATATTTGAATATTGATTAGATTTCTGCAAGACTGAGGAGTTGATATGCTTGATTTGATGATTAAAGGAAACTGTGGGCATCAGCCTGGAATGATGAGGTACTGTCTTGCTTACAGGTAAGGGAGCTGAAAGGATGAACTCAGAAGCTTTCTTTCTGATCTGTAAAGTCTTTTTTCTAATGGACTCTAGATGTAGTGTGGAAGATCTGCAATACCGTGGACAGTAGGACCTGGGTAAAATCAGGATGTTGAGTAGGATTTTTAAAAGGATTAAATGACAATAAATTGTTTGCCATTCTGGACATGCTGAATCCTATCTGGCTAGCAAGATGAACTGAAATAGACACTGTAAAGGAAGGTTAGAGAGAAAAATATGTTGAGAAAGGAATAGGCAAGAGACTGCTGCAGCACATAGACTAGATGAAAAACTACCACTACATGAATGTTTATATTTCAGAAATCCGCCCATTAAAGAGCCATTCATTGTGAGCAGCAGCAGTTAGAAAATGGACTGTGCTGTTAGTTGATTCTATATTCTATCAAATGAGAGAAAGAGAATGTACACATCACATATTATTAAATAGAAAGTCAAGGTGATTACAAGTCTTGGCTGCACATTGATGGGATCTAGTGATTTTTGTCACGTAGTGCCTCTGCAGTAATGAATGATGCATTGTAAACCCACTCCCATCTTGGTCTCTCTGGCCAGGTGCTCATAGCTTTCTCAACAGTTTTTCTGTAGCCCTGAATTTGCTATGTTCAACCTAAATAAAAATTTCTTTTCTTATGCCAATTTAGGGACTAGAAATCTAAATCCATTCAAGAAATGCTAATGATTGTTAATGAAAGAAAATGTACTTTCTCCCTGGAACCTAAAATCTGCCATGTTGAGACTAAAGTTGAAAACTTTCCTATCTAAAGCCCTTTTATGCTAACACTGTTCTGATTTCTATGATAAATCCTTTCTGACACAGTATGACTCAATGTTGATTTCAAAGAGGGGGGAAGAGAAGGAGAGCCTAGCTCCTGTTTTCTCCCACTCCCATGGGTTCAGTGCTGTTTTCTACCTTACTGTGTAACGGCTCTGAGGTGTGTTGCTTTTTTCTATGTGCTGCTGTTATATACACTCGTTCTCAGAATAACTGAAAGCAAACATAGGGGAGTTTCTGCTATGGCTTTATGTGTTTTCTTAGTTCTACTGTTCCAAAGTCTGCTCTCTAAAAATCCCTCTCTGTGCAAAAGCATTTGCATCTCTATCAAAGCACTCCCCCCTTACAAATACCAAGTTGTATATAGTTTACATTACTAACCTCTCTGCCACTGACTGGGCCTCCCTCCTACCACATACATCTTGCTGGAGCTGCCAGGTTCTCACCACATTTAACTCTTAACTTGTCACTTTGCTACCCCAGTCCTATTCATTACTTTAATAGTTTCATTAAGACTCATAGCAGCTTATTTCAAACCAGAGAGTCTTGCAGTTCTAAGACTTTGCATTGTTAAAGATATAGGTGATGAGCAATACGGGAAAAAATTGTAATACCAAATGAATTCATGTGCTTCTAATTCTGAGGAAAATTCTGGGAAGTTAGTTGTTCATTTAAGGAGTAGGAATCTTTCTTTAACTCCCAAATCCTTTTACAAGACGCAAGAAACTTAAGTTCTAATTCTAATGATAGCTCTACATTGTGTGACTGTGGGCACGTGACCTCTGTTTCAGACCTCAGTTTCTTCTGCAAAATGAGGGGGTATAAAGGCCTTTCTTGTCCAAATGCTCTAAATTTTATGTTGAGTTTGTTGGCTGTATTTATCGGTTTCAAACCTTTCATGAAGAATTAGCCTCCTTTCCTTTAGGTTCTTTACTTCCTCACTACTCAACTCCTCAACTCTCAATAAAGACCTTCAGATCCAAGTCACTCAGATCACTATCTAGACTGTTTCACAGCTAGAGAGACCTAAAAACAGAACACAAAGAAACAAAATGTATAGAATGTTATAATAAAGTCTTAGTATATGTTTGTTCAGAGGCAAAGAGAACAGGACTAACACTTCATTGTGGATAAACTGCAAACTTGTGTCTTATTTTTATTTATGTATTTAGCTGACTTGTTGGGAAGGCAATTAAACACCTGGTATATCTGAATTCATATGATAGCACATCATGTTACAGCAAGGTTTTAATATGCCCAGAAAAGCAACAATAGTTTACATTTCAAAATAGATTTTCTATTTAAGAGTTCAAGGTCTGTTTTCTGTTCATCCAACTTGGCTTGCAGAATGCAAAGGTGAATGATAATTATAATTAGTTAGATGTGTGCTAGGGAGTGTGCAGCAAACCATTGCCCTAGGTCTTATCAAATGCCTACTGGATAGCTAGACATGCTCAGAGGTTCTCACTTTTGACAAAATTTCCATATGCCACACAGAGACATGTGCACACATACGCAGGCATGGATCCAGAGATTTCTAAATCAATGCTCTGACTCAATGTAAGTGGGGGGTTATGCCGTGTCAGCTTGCGCCATTTCTACCCAGGGCAAGGTGATGTGATGAAATCTGAACGATGCACAGCCCAGACTTGTGAGCCAATAGCAGACTAACCCCACGCTGACAGGATGCCCGCTGGGCAGCCAGACTGGCCTCAGCATGGGCTCTCCCTACGTCCTCAGCTTGGGTGGTTAGGCTGCGTTCTGGGGGGCTCAGGCAAGTACCAGAATGCATTTAAAGGTCAACAGAGTAGAAATCAAATTGGCATCTGGCTACAAAAGGATTATTTTGGGGTTCTATCTCAGCTTATAAATTTCCAGTATGGATAGGATTCTGCAAGAGCTGATTTATTTAAATCTCAATTAAAGGGTTTTCATTTTATTTTACCCATGCGCTTGCGCGCGCACGCGCCTGCGCGCGCGCGCGCACACACACACAAACACACACACACACACACACACACACACACAGAGCACAGGATGGCTGGAATGAATGGCAATCTGTGCATTGCATAGAAAGAATTATGGGGTCTTTAAAAGCTAATCTCTATGGCTTACCTTGAGGAAAGGGTTTATCCATGCTGAGAAAAGCAGAATTAATGCCCCATCTGGCTCAGAGAATCTCTTCTCCTGAGTCTTTAGGTTTCTCCACCTCTCTTCGTAAAGTCTGAATGAAAACTCCTTCACTGGCAGTGGAGCCAGAAACAGAGATAGTTCTGTCTTGGTCTTTGACACAGCAGAGAAAACGGAAAGAAAAAAACAACAACAACAACACAAAAAACAAAAACAAAAAACGGGGTGGGGGAAGAGTCAGACCTGTAGTGGCAGATACTTTGTGTAGATTTTACAGGCGGATCTAAATCTTGATGCACGTATTCCCCAAAGAAAGCTCAGCAGGGTAAGTTGTTCACCTCCTCCTCCTCCTCTTTCTCCTCCTCCTCTTCTTTCTCCTCCTCCTCCGCCTCTTTCTCCTCCCCCTTCTCCTCCTCCTCTCGTTTCTTTTCCCCCTCCTCCTCCAGTATTTTCCTTCCCCTCCTCTTCCCCTCCCCCTTCCCTCCTCCCCTTCCTTCTCCTTTACCTCCTCCCCCTTCTTCTCTTTGGCCTCCGCCTCCACCTCCGCCTCCGTCTCCTCCAATCTGACAGATGAACCAAAGCAGCAGAAACTGCAGTTGTAGACACAGGGTATCTCAACCGAGCAATAGATACCGCTAGCGTGTGATTATTTATATAGCTCAGGGAGTGTTGGTATATAATCTGCAGTGGAGGAGGGGGATGAGGTTGCAGTGTGTTCAGCTCTGCTAGCTGGCTGTTTTGTGAATGTAGATGATTTCTAGAGGTCTTGTGAATGGGTTATAGGGGAGGATGGGAAGGAAGGAATTTATTGCTCCCTGTTATAATTTCTTTCTCTCCCCCTCTCTGTGTCGTTTGCTTTCCCGGAGCTGTAGCTCTTAATGCTTGGCTAAGTGGCGTCATCCAGATGAAATTGAATCGACCCATTAGAACTCCCCATAGGAATCTCTGTATCCGGTCCCTGGGTAATGACTGAAACAAAATTTAAAGGAGAATGGGGGTGGGGTAGAGAGTAACAATTTTTTAAGGAAGCCTCGTTTAAATATCTCTGCCAATCACAATCCTACCAAGCCACTCTGCCTTTGCTGAGTGATTGCAGCTTCAATAAGATAAAGAGCTTCTCCTTTGTCTAAGGGTTTCGTCCACCTCTTTTCCTCATCTATTCCTACTTTTTCAGCACTAATGAGATTGTCCATCCATTACCTCTGGGAAACCATTACCCAACCTATTTTCCCTTTCTGCCTTTAGTGTGGCACTCATTCAACAACAAATATTTATTAAGTGCCTTCCTTTGTATTAGGTGTTGTGGATTCAATAAGGAAGACAGACAGTATTCCTACCTTCATGGAGCCTCCTTGGGAATGAAAATAAAGCAGACTTGGACATTTTTCCTTAACAAAGGACAACGCTTTCTGTAAATTACCCCTCAGTCCACTATTTAATTCAATAGGAAAGGATCTTCCTTCTGGGCATCCAGACAGAAGCACTTGGATGACAGCAAGCCTCATATTTAAAATAAAGGAGATCTGATTTCAAATCCTATTTCAGCAGACAAGTGGCAGGAGCCTGGCCATCAACATTCTTAGGATGCTTCGGTTACCTCATCTATAAAATAGAGATGGTAAATGGTGACAGAGTAAAACAAACTGTGAGTCAGGAAACCAAGATTCTTAATTTTACTCTAACTCCTTGTGTGACCTTTGCATTTACTTTCCCTCTAGAGCCTCAATTTTTGCATTAACATGAGGGGATCTGATTAGGTAATTGCCAAGGTCCCTTCTAGCTCTGACATTCTATTATTTACACCCTTTCAGGGGTATTAAGAAGACAAAAGAAACATGAGACTGAAAAAAAGGTTTGTAGGTCTACATGTGCCTGTATGTGCATGTTGAAGGTATTCCAAACTGTCTTGTTGATGTGTATATGTGTGTGTGTGTTCATATGTATGTGATTGTGTGTGTATGTATAATTTCTAAGCAAATCCAGATCTCTTTTCTCAGTTGGAATTTCTAGCCAAGAGGTTTTTCTATGAGAATTCCTCTCTTTGTGGCTCACACCCCTTACTCTTTTTTTTTTGAGTTGGAGTCTCACTCTGTTGCCCAGACTGGAGTGCAGTGACCGCTCCCAGCCACCGCAGCCTCGACCTGCTGGGCTCCGGCGATCCTTCCGCCTCAGCCTTCCAAGAGTAGCTGGAATTACAGGCATGCGCTACCACGCCCAGCTGATTTTTTGATTTATTGTAGAGATGAGGTCTCGCTGCCCAGGCGGGTCTCGAACCTGCGGACTCAGGCAATCCACTCAGCTCAGCTTCCCAAAGGCGTGGGATTACAGGCTGAGCCACCGAGCCGGCTACACCCCTTACTCTTAACATTGACTTAAGCTTATCAAGGTCATGAAAACCATTAAAGCTAACCTATAAATTAATCTGCAAAGGAATAGATGCACTGATGTATTCATTTACCCACTTATTCAATAAATATTTATTGCATATCAACTATGTGTCAAGTACTATACTAACTAGATTCAGGTCAAACAGATCAAGGTTCAAATTTTAGCTCCTCAGCTTATGAGCTACCTGACTTTGGGCAACTCAGTTCACCTCTCTGAGCCTGTTTTATCATCTTTAAAATGGAGGTAACAATAGCACCCATATCACATGATGGTGCTATTGTCCTGTAGATTGAACAAGATCTTGCATTTGAAACGTTTATCATGTACCTGGCATATAGCAAGCACTCTATGAATATTGAGCTATGAATGTTGAAAAATATAGGAGAGGCAAGAGATGATTTCAACTAGAAATCCTTTTATTTTTTAAAAAAGTCTAGCTTTAAATTTGAACAGCTAAGTTGCCTAGTTCTTTTCCCTTCTTTACTCTGTGGGCCTATATTCAGGGCAACCATGAAAACAATTGAGAATATTCAATCTTCTTAGCTCTTAGAATGATACCCATGACAAGAAATAGTTATGTTGATAACCATTTATTCATTAAACAATGCCTACCATGGGCCACTCATTATCCAAGTGCTGATAATTCAACAGCTGAATTTCCTGCCCTCCTGGAGTTGACATTCAAGTGGGTAGGGAGACAGGTTTACTCTGTGCCAGATACTGTTCTAACATTTTGCATGTTTTAACCTATTTAATTCCCACAACAAACCTATATTTATAAATTGTATATTTATAAGTTGTACTGATTTTACAAATTCTCATTTACAAAATGAGAAACCAAGGACCAAAGAGATTAAGTAATTTGTCCAAGGTTATACAGCTGGCAAGTTGCAGATCTGGAATTTAAGCCAGACTGATTCACTCCAGAGCTTGCACACTTATATACTATACCACAGTATCCAACCATCTGCAAATCCCTTCAAGTATTTTTGCTCTCTTTCAAACTATTTGATATTTGCTATGGTCAGAATATTTGTGTCTCCCCAAAATTCATATGTGGAACCCTATTTACCAATGTGATAATATTAGATGATATGGCCTTTCAGACATGATTAAATAATGTAGGTGAAGCCCTTAAAGATGGGATTAGTGCTCTTATAAAAGAGACCCCACAGAGCTGCTTTGCCCTGTCCATCATGTGAGGGCATAACAAGAAAGCTTTTTCTATAAGAAACTAGGACTTTACTAGACACTGCTAGCACCTTGATCTTGAGCTTCTCAGTTCCCCAAACTTTAAGAAATAAATTTATGTAGTTTATAAGTTATCTAATCTAAAATATTTTGTTATAGTAGCCCAAGCAGACTATATATTGTTGCATTTGAATATACACGTCCTGAAATGCCTCCTTAGCCTATATCCTCTAGTCCTAGACCTAAAACTCATTACAGGAATAATCTTGCCAAATCACTTCTCTCTCCCTGCAAGACCAGTTTAGGTATTTGTCCTCTTCTTTGTGCTCCAGTGGTCCCCTTATTCTTACCATTGTCACAGCACTTATCTCCCTTTATTATAATTGTCTGTTTCCCATTCTAGACTGTGATCTCTTTGAGGGCAGATATAACACATAATATTTGTCTTCACTGCTGTATTCCAAGGACCTGACACACTGGTCACTCAATTAATGCTTATTGACTGAATGGATAACTGACTGTGGAAAGTCTACACAAATGTCTTTTATTTGTATGTTAAGCTGTTTTGTTTCTAAAAGGCTATTTATAGTTTCATGATTTTTGATAAGCTATCAAGATAGTATAATTATATAGGGAAATTTGATGTTGAGACATTACAAAATTCACTGTGTATTATCTGACAACTTGTTTTACAAACTTGTTAGATTCTTGTGGCAGTGCACTTCAGGAAATTTATTTTCATAGCTCTTTAGTTAATGGTGTACTTTTCAGGAAAGAAAAAAACATTTTGACAGATTTATTGAATGTCCAAAATAATACAACTAGTTAGTGACAGTGTTGGGTCTAGAAGTGAACACAGCTCTCCTGTCTTCCAATCCATTGTTGTCATTCTTTTTGCAAGGCATCTTGTTGACATTAATTCAATTCCAATTAAATTTGGAGATATTGTCTTATCACAGATAAACTCTTTCAATTCTGAAAGCCACTGGATTCTAAAAAAATAAATAAATAACTCCAAAGGACATCAGAAAAATCACCTTGCCCTCCAAATATCTTCCTTACTACTCTGTTTTAGAAATCTCTGAGTTATGGTTTTATAATGAATAAAATAATCTTTCCACACTTTATAGTACCTGATTGTTTGAATGGTTTCCGACATGATAGTAAACTCAAAATAGTTTTGAAAGAAGGGAGAGTAATGTTTCAACATTTTCATTTTGTCATCATCCATAAATACCTCTGAACTATCATAACAATAGTAATTAGGCCTCTCTTATGGTATTTATCACTTTCTAACTTGGGCCATAGGAACTTATGTATATATATTATCTTTCCAACAAGAATTAGTTCCTTGAAGATTCATATATGTGCCCTCCAAGGTACCGTTTATTGTGATTTTCATAAAATGAACTCTTATTGAAATAAACTAGGAAATACCAAGTTAGTGGCAGAGAGAGAAGTAGGGAACCCAAATCTCTTGATACTTTGTCCAGTGTTCCTTTCACTATACCATAAACAAGGAAGATAATGAAATATTTGAGTTGTTCTTTGAACTTCTTGAATTTGAGGTAATG